AATTTTACTGACTAGTGAGCGGTGTCAGCTTGTGTTTCATTGTAAAATCACGATGGCTACTACAGCTTGTTTTCATATTGCTACATTTAAGCTCAGTACATCATGTTAGTAAAAATGTATTAAGTGAAAATAAAATTGTGCCTCTTGTTAATTTCTCACATACAAAAAGTTGGACCCATGTTTTCTAAAGCAATGTTTTTCTATCTGTTTTACTCTATCTTTATCTACACGTTTCCATTTTCCTTAATTTGTTTAGTCCTCTATTTCGCTTGTATGTTTTTCATTATTTGATATTTGTGCCCTTCTTTCTTGTATTTGGACTTCATTTTCAAATATTTATTCTCTCATGTCTTTTTTCTTTCTTTCTAAAATATAATTCTTATCATTCTTTCTTTCGTTCTTAATCCCGATATTCCTTTCTGTAATAATATTATCAACTTCGCGCTCTGACCCTATTACGTCCATTAATTCCTCGTGTCCTGATCGTGACGGTTATGTGGCTTAACACAGGCCGTCAAGACCAGAGCAATTTCCTGTGATGAAGTTATCTACCAGGACCACGTGTTTCCACAGATAATGTAATGAGTCCCTCGTCATGGAAATTTGATCAATGAGGTGGGTTTGGTAAGCGATAGTTACGAATGATTTTGTGTAGTCAGTAGTCATACTTAATAAGATTTCAGGTTCTCACCGTGGTGAGTACGAAAATAGCTCGTTTACAAACTGTATCATCGTATAACCTGGTAAAAATTTATAAATGTTTCGGAGGTCCTTGCTGCCTCCATTATCAGGGCTATCATCGCCCGAATGATGGACGCAGCAACTTGTATCAGACCATACGGTGCTACAACCCACAAGACAGCCACCTTCATTTGTTTTCTTGTTGAAAATTATTTCTCCTTGCACGATCTGATGCTCAGATGACGTTCTTGAGTCGTTTCCATGGCTACAGTGTACGTGTAGTCCTTCAGGAGAAAACGAGCCTCATCAACCATTTTTAATGACATCCTTATGCACCTACGCACAAGAAGAATAAGATTTCTCAGTGTATGTTAGCAAATGGCCAGCTTCTGCTATTCAAAGAAAGTGAACCTGAGAGTAATTCTAATTCTGTTAATGCTTTTGTTGAACTCAGACCTCTTGCTAACACTGTGTAAACAAATTTATTTTTTCAGTAAATTATGTAACTAAATTAATTGCTTATATACCTATCCTATATTTTTTGCAAACAGATTTCTCCTGTCACCTTTTCGTCATAAATACCAAGAAGATTACAATGAGTAGGATTTGAAGTTCTCACTTTGCGATTGTGAAGATGGCTGTCTTTTGGAATGTTTGAATTCCTCCCATCATTAGGGCAGTAAGAACCTCGGAAACGCTGGTAAGCATCTACCAAAGTAAACGCCCGGGCGCTACAACCCAGAAGACAAGGCACATCACTTCCTAACGTGGTGGCAGGCTAGGATTCCCCATGCGGGGATTCTTCAGTCAGTCACTTCCGCGCGAAAAATAATTCACGTAGATGTTCGTTCATAGTGTCCGTTATTGTTATACAATTATAATCAGCAATGCAGTGTGGCAAATAATTTCATTAAAGGTTACAAATAAAAAATTTCATTAAAATTTGTTTAGCTGTTCTCAAGTTGTTACGTACGAACAGACAGAAGGACTTGGCTTATTTATACAACTTTTATTTGCAAAAGCACCTAGAAGCAGACCATCATACCTTCCTTGCCATTGTTCTTGTCTTACTTCACCACGCTTTCATAACTGCATAGTCAAAATAGAGGGTGATAAAGAAGTATCATTTGGAAGGTAAATGATAATGACGTATTTTAAAGCAGCACTCCACCGTTTTCCTGGAGGTACTGAGGAAAACAACTGAAAACCTAAGTTACAGTTGGATTTAAGGCCATTAATGAAACAGAAACCTCTGGCGTTATCGCATAATTTGCACATATAAATTTAGTTACTTGCTTATTTATGTCTAGACTAATTTCCTTGCCTCCAGCCGGTAGCGCCTTCATAATCAGCAATATTCGGAAAGTGTAATTGTAAATTACAGATAATTGCTGAGGCAGCCTTGTAATTCTGTGACGCCGCGGGCACGTATAAATAATTAGATCTGGTCTCGTAGCTGTGCTAAATGTCCACACAGCGAGGGGTTAATTACAAGGAAAATGAGAGAGGTGGAACGCTCAGAGCAATAAAGGCAGCGAACTCATCAGTGAGACATCCCTCCAGAGTATAATGCTATTTGTCTTCGCAACTATGACCCATTAAAACGTACTATAAAGTCCCCTGAATGTTATATTTTAGGACTATTGTATTTATCGTTCTGATTAAATGTGGTATTTCATTCAATAACAGAGCACTTAGTACTGCATTGCGTTTTAAATATGAAGACTGCAATTGTATGGCAAAGAATTTCCTTGAAATATGTACAGCCCTAGTTATTTAAATTGTTAAGGAATTTCATACTTGGAACCTAAAGGTTCATTGCGTGTTAAAGAAGACTGCCACTCAGCCCTATCTTCATGCCGCCAGCTCTAGTTTCAAGATTCATGTTAATAACATACTCCCAATTATGCTTAGGTTCCCATAATTTATTCTGTTCAAATGACCTTCAGGCGCCTTGAAAGGAGACGTTCGCACGGGACGAAAATCTTTACCTTCGTGCATTTAGAAATGTGAGACTACTCAAATCGTCACTCTAGTAGAAAATTAGGTAGCCTAATATGAAAATACATACCAAGGTGAAGTAAGCGCACTAACACTGGAATGGACACTTTTAAATGAAACTAATTTATAAATAATCTTATATTTTAAATTGTATATAATAATGATAACCTTTTAGAATCTATATATACAGTTCATGAGATGTAATTTTTTGGTGCACACAGTAACACAGAAGTAAGAGGTAAACACATTTTATATTAAGAGTAAGACGCACTCTACAAACTTTTCTGAAGGAAATCTTATTTTTGGGGCAATGTCTTCAGTATTCATGAATTACGTAGATGAAATGTGTCTGGTTCCAATCGATTCTGTCCTGAAACTTGAACTTTATGTGGCTCTTTGACTTGCAGACGATTTGTAGGCGCGCTATTGGTTTTCCTGCAGAGACTTGCAAATTGCGGGGGTCAGAACCGAACTGAATAAACGAATTCTTATGCAGACCGTCCGAGCAGTTGAATGGGAAGCATGCTCTCAGCAGCCCCAGTTTCCAGTAGCAGCAAAAGTACAATCAGTTTCTTGTGTGTGACTTCAGTTATCTTGACTTGTATTTATAATTTATTTTTATTTACTATCTCTGATTAAAGTATTTGAATTATGGGTCCAAATACTCCAAAGCGCCCCACTGAAAATCAATACTGTATATTTCCTCTTTCCCCTCCCCCAGTTACTGTTTGCACGAATTTAAGTGCGTTTTCTGAATTTGTAGTTCATCTGCAAGTAATTCCTTTCCTATTTTACTCTTCTGTTTCATTCCCTCTTTTTTTTCTTTTTTGAACTGTTTATAACCAATCAAAGCGTGGAGTTATGTTTGTGAGCAAGTAGACTATTACCGTTAAACATTTACGAGAATTTCTATAAGAATATTAAAATAATTCTGTTGCTTTCGAAATTGGTGTCGACATTATCATTTGCTTCTTTTGAGAAACGTGTCAATGCATATGAAAGGAAATTTGAATTGCTTATCATGAAATTCAACGATTTCTTTTTCTTGGATTTATAAAATTTTAAAAGCCCTCTTTGTCTACGACAACGTCTTTGTCCCTTCATATCCAAAAAGAAATTCTGCCCAGCCTTTAAAATCTTTATAAAGCTCTTCTTCCTTTCTTGTTTGTTATAATATTTTTACGTCTCCGTAATTTTACATTATTTGAATGTGATTAATCTTGTTTCGTCTTGTACCTCTCACCCCTTCATTTAGTTTGAAGAGTTTATCTTCATCTAATGCGTGATGTATCTGTGTTTAAGATGTCTCAGGATCTTCATTTCATAAAATGTAATTCTGTGTTTTTGATTATTAGATTTAAAATGTCATTTCTAATATTTTTTTATATGTTAATGATACTTATTGCAAAAAAGTATATAAAAATTAAGTAGTAGTGTCCAAAATACAGTATATGTAGAAACAACAGATGTTAC